GTGAGTACTCGGAAAAGAGGTTTTATTGTAGCCTTATTATCGTACGTCTCGCGGCTCTTTGTCTGTGTTTGCCAAGCAACACCACAAGTCAAAGGGATGCTTGATAACCAGTTCTATTGTTAACCGGCTTTCCTCTTAACTTTAAATATGTGTGTTTTCTCGGCACTGTAGAGGCTAAATTTGAGTAAAAATGATGAACGTATATTAATGGAAGCTTTTTATTCCTGTTTTCAGACGGTTGTTCTAACACTGAAGGTGTTATTCGCAATAAGTCAACAAAGTCCCTATGAATAATAGTTAATAGCGTAACTAAAACAAACAATTTTTAACTCTAAACATTTGGGTTTACTGTTTAAACGGGTAGAGTAGGAAAAGAGTGATAGTCCAAGAAGCCTGTTAGTAAATGACAGATGAGTTAACCGTTTTATTTTCCGCTCGCGCGCTGCGTTGCTTTACGTCATGTTTCCCATTGAGGGCTACAGCTGAGCGAGCTGCTGCACATTCTTTGCACAGTTACAGGCTCTTTGCACAGTTACAGGCTCTTTTGATTTAGTAATTCCACGGCTAGTTATTTTAATGTGAAAGAAATGCCAACTTAAAAGTGGTAAAATAAAAATAAAAAAGTATTTTTTTATTGGTGATATATGTGTGGGAATTGAGAGCCACATCCTGCCTGCTGGGTGTCACTGTCACAAATAGGCAGATAAGCATCGCACCATTCAGTGTTAAGGAGACCAAAAAAAGAAACTTGCTGCAGAGCTAAGTTTTAAAAAGCACAGGGACTTGACAAGATTAGTCGTGATGTAGGGCTGTCCACTTGTGCGTCCTTACTGTATGCATGTGAGCATAGACACACGTGAATGCATTCTCGGAAAGTCAAGGGGTTGCATTATTGCAGTGCACTACTTACGTGTTTGACACATGACCCCCCCACAAGCAGTAAATCGTCATCTCTCTAGACTTTCTCAGTTGCTCTTGCATATAAATCCCACCTACTTGCGATTGTTAATCTTTCAATGGAGCATTCAGATTGTTTATGCATGTTTAGAAAACATGAATTTGATTTTAAACAGGGGAATATTGTCTTTATCACCAAGTCTTTTGTTCTGGGTCCATAAAGAGGGGTCTTTCAAAACCCATGGAAAGCCATTGGCTTAACAACTCTGCTTCAGCTATAATGAAAGCTTCTAGGAGTTTAGATAGTTTGTTTGTGAAGACTGCTTTATAACAATACAGGCAAAAACAGGGTTTAGAATTAAAATCAATGTTTATCGTTTTAGATTATGGCTTCTAAAAAACTCAAACTAAGAGGTTAAAAATTGAACTTTAGATTGGAGGTCTTCAACAGGGGGTCCGCGACCCCTAGGGGGTCCTCGGAGGTCCTGCATGGGGTTGCGGAAATTTTGGTTGATTAGACTTTTTTTTTATATCCCCCCCCTGCAATTTTTTACACTAATTGAAATGTCTTTAAATCCACATTAACATGAATTCAACACACTGTAGTAAACAGATAAATGGAGGCAGAAGATGTCTTTCAGTCATCAATGCACACATTCAGCGACACACAGGAGCTCTTTCAAGCTGGGCACCGTTTCATTCACAACACCTGTCCCATCAACCAGGAATCAGAAATACTTTAATAATCCCAGGGACAAATTACTTTTGTTATATTACTCCATATGTAATAGAGTGACTATAGGACCAGATTGATAATTATAATAAAAAATATATTTAGGTGGTCCCCACTCCATCTCGCCATCAGTTTGGGGGTCCTTGGCCTGGAAAACTTTGAAGACCCCAGTTTTAGATTACCCAATTCCTGTTATCAGATAGAATTTCATTTTATAAAAGAAAGGAATAATACCTTCCTGAAAATAAAAATGGCAGGATACTGCCACCATCATATCTCATTGAGGGGGATGTTATGTCCAGAATAATATGCAGTGTTAGTTTTTACCATGCTGTGTTTTCCAAACGGCTATACGCTAGGCACATTCGACCAATAGACCTCTTTCTAAATGTTTGGTAACAGGACTCCTTGTTGATTTCCATCAAGAACAGCTTACTGTGGCCCCACTACAGATGGATTGAGTGCCCAGCTACCGTAATAGTCATTGTGTCTTTGTTTAGGTAGATTATCATGGCTTTGTAGGTTAGCAGTTATATTATGTATAAGCAATGCATGATTTTTTTCTACTCAAATTTAGGTACAAATACTTAACTTTTTGTAATTATTGACATTGATATTCTTATACTAGATAAAGCTTATTATATGTTTGGCAGACTAAGATAGACTTTGACCTTAAATCTGGTACAGTTTAGATGTAGTTTTCTCTTTTCCCACTCTTGAAAATTGTGCTGAAAATAAATAATGTTTAACCTTCATTAGGGATAGGCCTGTGTTAACATACAATCCAGTCTGTGGTACTTTGAAAATACAAGGAACGGGGTCTGGTTGGGGGTGGGGGGCAATTTTCATAGGAATGGCGACATCATCTGATGACAGGTATCTAAAGATAGAGAGAGCAAAAACCAGCCCTCTGGGCCACACAAAAACCCCCAACAAAACAGAGGTATGAGTATCATGACATTTATAAATGAAAAAAAAAATAAACTTTAAGTGTTAACTAGAACAAAGCTCAAGCAAATTATGCATTCATACTCTAAAAGCAATATATTTCTAATACCGTAAATTCAGTAGCAGCTCTAGACCCTGCAGCTCTTTTTTCTCTGACAAGAAGGTCCCTAGTCTCCTAAGTTTTAAGACAAAAGAACTCTGCCACTTGATCATCAGTAGTTTTAGAAGATATTTACAACTTTCCTTTTGATACACTTACTTATATAGCTTAATTTCAATCACTGTTGTTTTAACTATCAATGCACAGATGTTAGTGAATTGTATAAACATTTGGTTTGTCTAATTCAAACCATCTCTGCGTAACAGAGCCGAATGCTATAGGGTTGCATTGTCCCCAGTTCTTACACAATTTTTTATTATTAGTGGTTTGAATATTGTATTTAAAAAAATGTATTAACACAAACTGAGTGTGATTCAGCTGTAAGGATGGAGAGAAAGAGAAGGAGAATAAAGCCTGAGGACAGATAAGTGAAGCGACTGCTTGGTTTGTAGGAGCAGCTGCTAGATTCCAAGTGATTCATTTTTGAAAATTATTGATATAAATAAGCAGATTAGCATAATGTGCTATTTATGAACTACTATTGAATAATGCTTGTTTGACTTTGTGACCTAACGGAGAAGACTAAAAGTATTAGATGAGGAACACAGTCATAAAGTCGGTGATAACATATGCTTTACAGGAGACCAGTGATGTTATGAGGTTGGACCAATTAAGCTAATGAGAGCAAAAAAACACAGTTAACAAGAATGGTTGAAATTTCTGCAGATCACATATTTCTTGTGCCCTTTTAGTATGATTGCAGGCAGACATAGCAAGAAGATCACCACAGAGGAGAATGTGGAACAGATGAGAGGAACAGAGAACGAGTGTGTACAGAAAGTCTTGTATTTGATTAGTCCATGAATAGATAGTATTTATAACTGTAAACTTAAAAAAATCTGTCAGGATGGTAGAGGTCGGCGCCTGTAACGTGTCTGCTTTTCTGTGGAATGTTCAGACCATCCTTTTTTTTTTTTTAACAAAACCCCGCTTTAGACTTCTCTGCAGCTTTATTCCCGATCATTATAGTGCGTTCTTGGTTTTCATGTTTGTTCATTTGTGTTCCTCAATAAACCTCACAGAACAGCTAGATTTATACTGAAATTAAATCACACACAGGATGAGTCTGCTTGCCATTTAGATGATCTATGAAGGCAATATATGTCATCTAATTTTGTCAAGGGGTGTTGGAGGAAAGGGGGATGAATATGCATCACTTTTTACATTGTTGGAAAGAAAGTTTTTCATATCTGGATTTACTGACAGAATTATAATATATTATACATAAGTATAAGTTATTTAGTATCATCTATGAGCTGAAAGTCTTAGCCTTATGTGTCTATTGCCTTAGAAATTGCTACAGATCGCCATCACACTCTAATGTCAATTCTGCAGGTTAGGCCTATATAAAATCTATATCCTACAAAGACCGATAAAATACAATTTCTAAAGTTATCTATAAAAAAAAACCTCGTCATCACTTGATGTGATGTGGATGTGGTGGAAGGTGATGAGTATTGTTGGAGGGGGAGAAATAGTGAAGGGAGTAGTTCATGTTGATGCTGCTGAAAATTACACACTGTAGCTTTAGATTTTTAAAGATGAGAATTGAAGTTTTTTTTTTAGAAAGTTACAAGGATGAGTGTTTAAACAGAGTGCTTGTATGCGTGTCTAAGTGAAAATAGAGCTTGTTTCAATTTGTGGATATTTTGGATCTAGGATTTAGCTTCTCCTGTATGCCTATGTGTGGTAGTGCATCATAATGACCGGATTCTTACCACATCTTTAAGTTGGCTAAAAAGAAACTTAGATGACCAAAAAAATGGCATCATCAATTGTGCTTTCATGCATGTAAAGGCAACGAGTAAAATACAAAGTTCACTCCATATTTCAATATTTTTATCATTAAAACATCAGCATAGTCATCAAATATGTTTCCTTTCAGTGCTCCTGATCAATTTTGCTCTCCTGAGCTATCCAGTCAGTTGTAAATATATATAAGAGTGTACGGAATGTACACTTACAGTAATACATAATTGTTTACATGACTTTCTCAAAAGTCCAGACTGCAGATTGATATCTGGAGCCTGCACTGTTTGTTGCAGCACCTCAATTCTTTTCCTTTTTTAGACACCCTGATGTGCTGCTGTAGTTCAGATCACCTTCCTGTTGCATGACCCAATTCAGGACAAGCTTCAGCTGTCAGACAGATGGTCTTATGCTTGGCTCTAGAATGACTTTGTATACAAAGGAGTTTACGCTGAACTTAATGACAACAAGAGGCCCAGGTGTAGAAGAAAAACTGTGTCAACAATTTAGCTT